TGGACAGGGCCAGTCAGTGACGTCTCAGGGTTTTTTTGTGCTCAGCCATCGCCAGCCCCAGGTCAAACTCCTCTCTGTGCCTCACTGCCACCTCTGGCTCCACGAGGAGGAGAGGAGAAAGGCAAGAACCTTCCATGAGCTTCTGTGGCACCTCCCCTGCCTCACCCCAGCGGGATCAGCCCCTCCTGCCCCTCAGTGCCCTCCCCTGAGCTCCGCTGCCCACAAGGCTTCGTCCCCTGCCCCACACAGGGGACCCGTCCCCGCCTGCTCCACGTGGTGTCCGAGCAAAAGCTTTGGTTTATATATATATTTTTGTTGGATTGTGTGTACATTTCCAGGAGTTTTATTTCTCTTTTTTTTTTTTTTTTGGTTGTCCGATACTTGTAAGGGTTTTTTTTTTTATATATGTGAAAATAAAGTATGGATTCAAAGCTGAGTCGTGCAGTTTGTTCCCACAGGCACAAGGGTGGGAAGGGCATTCCACAATCCCATGGAGGTTCCAACAGGATCCATTTATGCCCCTCTGGCTGCTAATAATACACTAATTACTATAAATGTTAATAAATCTCTCCATTCTGATAATAATAAAAATATATTGATATTTATAATAAAATAACAAGAAATTTAAATATAAAAATTTATAATAATTATAAAAATATATTTATATTTATAATATAATAAAATAACAATAATTTTAAATATAAAAATTTATAATAATTATAAAAATATATTTATATTTATAATATAATAAAATAACAAGAAATTAAAATATAATAATAAAATTAATAAAAATAATAATAATAATAAAAATAAAATAATAATAAATATATAGTAATAAAAATTTTAAAAATTACATAATCCTATTTTTAGGCTGCAATAGGTGATTGTTCCACTGGATCTTAAAAAATAATATTGTAAATAAAATTTACTGTTAGAATTTATTGATAGTTTAATTAATAGCTGATACCAATACTGTAGATGTTAACGCATACAGGAGATGGCAATAAACACTAATAAACTAACACTGGTAATTAATAAAACATATTAATAAAGCTAATAACTACCCTGAGGGGACAGAGGGCACATGCTGGTGACACCAAAGTGTCCCTTCTCCTTTGAATTAATAAGAATTAATTCCTGTGCCCTCATCTGAGCCCTTGATTAATTAATAGGGACTCAAATGACCTAAAGTAACCCCTATGACCTAAAGTAACCCCAATGAGGACATCAAATGACCTCGAACGACCCCAATGACCTCAAGTAACCCCGATCATGACCTCGAACGACCCCAATGACCTCAAGTAACCCCGATCGGGGCCTCAAATGACCTAAAGTAACCCCGAGCAGGATCTGAAATGACCTAAAGTAACCCCTGGAAAGCCAAAAAACTCTCAAATGACCTAAAGTAACCCCTGTGACCCCAAATGACCCCTATGACCTGGAGTAACCCCGAATTTGACCTCGATTGACCCCAATGACCTAAAGTAACCCTGATGAGGACCTCAAATGACCTCAAGTAACCTCATCTCTTCATTTCACCCCAATTGCCCTCATTTCAGCCCTCAGTGGCTTCTGTGAGAGGTTTTTTTCCCAAGTTTTTCCAAGTCACCCTCCCTGACCCCTCTGAGGGTCCCCCTGTTACCTCAGTGTCCCCCTTTGTCCCCTGGTGTCCCCTGGACCAGTGGGTCCCTGTTTGTTCCATGTCTGGGCCCCTCTGGAAGGTTGGAGTGTGGCAGAACCTGGATTTATTATATCAATTTTATATGTAAAATATTCATATATTGATAGATATGAATAGATATCAATGGGTATTCATGAATGGATTCAATCCCAAAGATTCCTATCTTTAGGATTCCTATCTTTAGGATTCCTGTCCTAAAGACATGATATTTTCCTATTTTTATTAATAATACACTCTAATAACTCTATTCTAGAATTGTAACTCATATACATGTAATTCTAGAATTGTGTAAGATATTTATTTATTTATTTCTATTATTTCCATGAAATAACTTTCAAATCTGCAGAATATTCCCTTGGATTCTCTTCCTGGGTGGTAACTTCATGTTCTTTTTCATGCTGATGGGTTAGAGCCTTTATTCATTGATTCTCTCAGGATATGTTTAATTATTATAATCTTTATATAAATCTTTCCTGGCCAGAATATAAATTTGAATTTACCAGATAATTGTGGTGATAATTATAAAATACCTCCAGAGTCAGTCTGCAAAGGATCCAGGAGATTGAAATCCTAAAATTTTCTTTTTCCAGCACTTACAGAAGCACCACAACACACACACACCATCTGCTACAACAAAGGAAATTTTATTTAAAAATAAAACTTTGTTTCGTTTTCTTTCTTACTGACACAGGTGAATGAAATCCCAAACAAAGAAGCTCTTAGTGGGCAGCATACAAGGATGGAAACAATTAATAAATAACATTAGTATAACCTCTAAACATTAACAATGCATCTGCAAACAAAATGAGGACTTTAAACCAAGTGAACCTTAAAGCTCAGCTACTCTCTGTAAGAATATTTACCTTCTGTTTTTCCTTATTCTTTACAGATCTGAAAGGATTAAATACTGCTATTATAATTTTATATTAATGACACTATTATACTTTTTTTTTTAAAATATCTCGTGAAAATCTCAACATTTTTTAACACTGATATTTTACAAATTGGTATTTGTCATCCATGAGGAAGAACAGCAGTAACAGCAGTTCTTCCTCCACTGGGAGTTTCAAACAAAAAAGATTTCTAGGAGGAACTTTAAAAATAAAATGTCCTTATTCCCCACTAATCTTTAAAGTGGCACCTCTGAGAAGGTGCCCTGGGAGTTGCATTTTTTCTTGCTCAACTGAAAAAAAAAAATAAAATAAAACGAACAAAAACCCCGACAAACCAATCCATCAAACCACATTTACAGCGAGGAGCCTGCCTCAGGATGAGCTCCAGAAATGTCACCAGGCTGGGGCAGGAGCCACATGCTGGGCCCTGGGAGGGCTGGGGGTAAGGACATGCACAAAAAAAGGGGAAATTTGGGATTCCTGATGGGCTCTGGACGCAGGAAATCACCTGGGAACTGCTCAGGGGGCACCTCCTGCTTCTCACAGCTCCTGCTGGGAGTGTCCCCACTCCTCTGGGAGTGTTCCCCATCCTGTTGGGAGAGTTCTCTGCTCCTTTTGGGAGAGTTCTCTACTCTGAGAATGTTTCCCACTCCTCTGGGAGTGTTCCCCATCCTGTTGGGAGAGTTCTCTGCTCCTTTTGGGAGAGTTCTCTACTCTGAGAATGTTTCCCACTCCTCTGGGAGTGTTCCCCATCCTGTTGGGAGAGTTCTCTGCTCCTTTTGGGAGAGTTCTCTACTCTGAGAATGTTTCCCACTCCTCTGGGAGTGTTCCCCATCCTGTTGGGAGAGTTCTCTGCTCCTTTTGGGAGAGTTCTCTGCTCCTTTTGGGAGAGTTCTCTACTCCTCTGAGAATGTTTCCCACTCCTTTGGGAGTGGTTCCTCACTCTTTTTGAGAGTGTTTCCCACTCCTTTGGGAGTGCTCCCCACTCTTTTGGGAGAGTTCATTTCTTTGGGAGTGTTCCCCACTCTTCTGGGAGTGTTTCCCCCTCCTTTTGGGAGTGTTTCCCACTCTTTATGGGAGAGTTCCCCACTCTTTTTGAGAGTGTTTCCCCCTCCTTTTGGGAGAGTTCTCCACTCCTTTGAGAGAGTTCTCCACTCCTTTGAGAGTGCTCCCCAATCCTGTTGGGAGTGCTCCCCACTCTTTTTGAGAGTGTTTCCCCCTCCTTTTGGGAGTGTTCCCCACTCTTTTTGAGAGTGTTTCCCCCTCCTTTTGGGAGTGTTCCCCACTCCTTTGAGAGTGGTCCCCACTCCTTTTGGGAATGTTCCCCACTCTTTCTGAGAGTGTTCCCCACTCCTTTTGAGAGTGCTCCCCACTCCTTTTAGGGACAGCTGCAGGACACCCCCAGCATTTTTTCCCCCACCCCACGATCCTGACCTGGCCCCAAGCTCCAGTCCAGACACGGAAGCTCCACGGCTGAAATGCTACAAAACACAGTGTCAGAGTCCAAGTGAGCATTGCCCACCCCTCCTGCTCCTCTCTGCACCCTTCCCAAAGCAGTTTGGTGCTGCTTGCCCAGCTCTGCTCGTTTCCCCGCAGGGGTGGATCCTCAGATCCAGCCTGGCCACGCAGCATCCCCTTAAGAAAGGCACTAGACATTTGGGTTGGTTTTCCTTTTTAAAGTAGCATCAGAAAGGTAATTTTCTTAAGAATAAAGAATGGGGAGGTGAAAGGAAAGAAGAGCAATCAATCTTGGGCTTAGAAAGAACAAGAAAAATCCACTGGGCAGTGCCTGGATCGAGCTGGCAGAGCACAGCCACAAGACATGGCCAGGACTCTGCTGCCCTCAGTGGAATCAGCAAATTCTTAACGTGTCTAAGGAAGAAAAGGCAAGACTTAAGTTTCTAAAATCAGTTTGAGACATAAACAAGTGCACAGAAAGGACACATGCAGAGAAATCAGCGCTACATGCCACAAAGATTGCTCTCCCTAATCTCTAATACCCAGAACAACACCCACAGGAACATCTCTTGGCACATAGACCCCAAAGACAGGCCTGGATCAGCTCTGCCAAGCAGGATTTCATGGAAATTACAGCCAGCCTGCCCTGAGGGGCTGGGAGGGCACAGGGAATCACTGGTGCCACACACACTGGGCAGGACAGGAGTTAAGGCTTTGGAGCTGGCTGGGTCAGCCTGGCTCAGCCATGGCAGGAGTCACACTGAGCTCACACGGCAGGACAGACACCCAGCGGCTCCAAAGCAACACAGAGCCCAGTGGGAGTGTGGAAGAGAGGGGAATAAACCCCTCACCAGAGGGTTTGCACCTGGATCTGCAGGACAAGGGACTGTCTGGCTGCTCAGGCTGCCCAGTGTGACACAACAGCCACAGCTGTCCCCTGCTGTCCCCTCTCCTGCCTCAGCAGCACCAGGGCTGGCCTTGCCCCTGCAGAGGCACACACATCCCACAGGGAGCAGGGCTGGCAGCCCTGGCAGCTGCGCTGGGGGCACAGCAGGAAGAGCAGCTCTTCCTCCCCTCCTTCCTCCCCCAGGCACTGAGCCCAGGGCTGTGCCCGAGCCCCGTGCCCTGCAGGGCACCCTGCCCATGCCAGACCTAGCACGTGCCAGCCCTGAGCCCAAACCAGCCAGGGTGGGGACAGGGAGCATGGAAGGAGATCTCCCCACGCTGTCTGAGTGTTTTCTCCGCTACAGAGAGGAGAGGAGTAAAGAGAGACACCTCAGCCTGCCTGGAGGCCCCTGCAGCAATTCAGAAAGCTTTAGGTCTAGAGAGAAACCTCAGCTTGAATCAAAATCCACTTTCTGCTCTGCTAACACCACTCCTGAAGGCCTCCCTGCCACTGCAGCCATCTGGCCCAGCCCCTGGATTCCTCAAAAGGCCACACTGCACCCCAGTGCCAGAATCACTCCAGCAATATTCCACTGCAGCCCTTAGCCCAGTGACCCCTGCTGACCTCAGGGAGGTGCAAATAATGCTGGACATGCTCCAAAGGCCAAGAGCCTCTCAGGCTGACAGGCTGTGATCTGTCCGTGCCTCCTGGATCTAAATCTTCTCCAAAGGAACCATCCACTCCTCTAATAAGAACAGAGTTAAGTAGCTGAGTAGGCAAGTCAGGTTTTTCCAATGCAACAGCTGAGTTCTGACCTTTAAAACCATGTGATCACTTCACAAATACAGAATTTTTTCCCCAGGTCTGCTTTAACACCAGACCCGGCAATACTTTAGAGAAATGGAAATGGAAAGGAGAGCCCCCATGTTGTTTGGACAGCCATGCAGAGAACTGCTGCACTTCTGGGACTGCAAAGCAGGTGAAATTCCAACAAACACATCAGCTGCATCTACCAATTCCACAAAACACCCCGGCACGACGATGGCTCCTGCAAAAGCTCTCTGGAGAAATGTGTGTGAAGGCCACTAGTCTGCAACAGCCACCATGCAACGAAGATAAATAAAACATCCTATTCACCAGGTGCAACATTCCTAGGGAACAGCAATGGGAGTGTCCAGTGACGGCTGCTCCAGCCCAGCAGGGCCACAAATCAAATTTGAGCACTGAAGCACAAAATGCTCAAGGCTAAGAGAGGAGAAGCAGCAGCCCCAGTTCTTTCCTCTTGCTCAAATTCTTTGCCCCCCTCTCCCACCCCTCAAAACCACACCAAGCTCCTCCAGCTGCTGGAATCTGGTGCTGCCAGTGCAAGAGCACACACACAAGAGAGAAATCTACTGGATCAAAATCCCTGACAGAAATTCATCCTGCTATCTCCAGGCAGCAAGGGAGGACTGGAGTCAGAAGCAACAACTGCTATTGTTACAGGCAAGAGGGACACACCACGGCCAACAGGAAGCAATCAAAGGATCCTTCCAAGGTCTCCTATAAATTCCCAGCAGAAAGTGACCTCCCAGCTTCTCTAAAAAGCCTGAGGCAGACACACAGCAGCGAACAGACCCAAACCTAGTACCATGAACCACAGGACACACCACACCGACCTCGAGACTTTGTTTCTCTGAGCATCCACTTAAAATTCACAGCACAAAACAACTCCCCCAGCCTCCAGGGCACGGGCTCGGGGATCCCTTGTCACGATACCTTTCTCTAGCAACACCCTGGAAATAAATCTGTTCTCTCAGACAAGAGGTAGGGGTAAAGGACTCCAAGACATACACTGTATAAAACACCGCTCCGCTCCATCGCACTGCTTTGAAATCTGGAACCACGAAAACCTGATAACTGATTCTCTTCAAGAGGCAGGACTGACCTCAGCACGAAGTCTCTAAAGGAACCCCCTTCCCCTTTGGTGCACAGCTGGGCAGCAGCTGCCCAGGCAGTTGGTCCACAGCAGCTCAGGCGTGGAGGTGCCCGTGTGCTATGTGGCCACGTGCGCCGGGGAGGAGATGGACACGAACTCCCGCAGAATATTCTTGGCCATCTCAATATTGTTATGTGCAATGACCAGAGCTTTCTGAATGTCCTGATATGAGTAGCCTTGGCTCATGAGGTTCTCGATCTCGCTGGAGAGGTGCAGGGAGGAGCTGGCCCCGCTGCCGGCTCCTCCCGCCTGGCAGCTCCCGGCTTTGCGCTCCGAGTTGATCCGCCGGGGCAGCGGCTTCGGCGGCCGCTCGGGGACCTGGGAGCCGTCTGAGAAACCTGGCAGGAGAAACAAGCGCATCACTTCAACGCAGAGATGTGGAAAGTTTGCTTGGAACGAAGCGGAGATGACAGCAGGGAGATAAATGGCACTTCAAAAAGCTGTTACTGAGCTCTGCTGCTTTCTCCAGCCCTTTTATCTCCTTCCCAAGCTGCTCAGCTTCCCCACCTGGGTGCAAAAACAGCTGGGGAGGTTTTGCTTAATTAGCAAGGCTCATCAGGCTCATTTAGTAAGATAAAACCACATAAAAAATGGCATAGGATCTATGTGTGTAAGCAGAGCTCAGATATCAGCCTTGGAATCAGAAAAAATGACCCAGTGAATATTCCATGCACCAGACATCCCATTTCCTTCCAGAATCAGACAGAACTCCGGTTTAACTGTCCAGAGGCTGCTCCCTCATCTCTGTGTGCACAAACCCAGCCCCAACTCAGCCACCACAATTGCTTCAGCAACTGAATTATGCTCTCTGAAGGGTCAGCAACTGAATTATGTTCTCCTCTTCCTCTGCTGAAGCTCTGCCTGCCTAATGGCAGATCAATAAAGCTCAGCCCGTTCTGCTTTTCCCTGAGTCACTCTGATGTGACACTGCCCTGCAGTCACATCATGCACTGCTGGGAAGAGGAAATAACAGCCAATAAACCAAACAAGTCACCAAACTCTCCAAGGAAAAATCACATTGTTTAATGTGCTCACCCAGCATCTGACTATTTCTGAGTTTTAACCTCCTGTATCATTGCAGAAAGCATTTTCTGCCAATCACGGGAAACTCTTCTACATGGATGTTTGACATCACCTTAAAGAAAGATTTATTTGTCTCCTGGAAAAAGTCCTCAGGGCACCGCACAGAGTTTTCTGGCAGAGAACTGGAGTACAACAGACAAATCACGTCCACACAATTCCTTTCTAAGAGTGAGCACTGCAGCTTGCTCAGAGCAGCCGCATTGTGGGGTTTTTCTGAAAACTTTCCCCAAAAGCCCTGAGACAGAGAAGGCTCTTTGGGAACCAGATTCCCTGAAGCTTCCTCACCAACCACAGCTCCCTCATCTTCAGAATTGAAGTTTCTCAAACATAAAAAGCTTTTTGTACATGTGAGAAGAAGGTCTGCCCCCTCCCCTGCCCCAGACTCCCTTCTGGAATTGCTGTTTCAGCTTCAGCTGGATCAAGTTTCAGAGACCATGGGTCAGTCTGAAAGGACAACTGCTAAGACAGTTATTTTGGTAAATCATTAATTAAAACTGCAGGGCCCAGCTCCTGAGAGCATAAACCTGCCAAGATGAATCCCACAGCAGTCAGGCTTGCCTGCACCACTGCCTTGCTTCCCACAGCAGTAACAATCAGCATTTTCCACATTTTCCATTTCCCTAGCCCTAAAGCAGGACAACAGCAGTGTTATTTCAGGGCTGTAGAAACAGAGTGTCAATGATTAAACTCAGTACTTCATCTGGGAGGGGGGTGGGACTTGCTCTGTTTCTTTTTTATCCCTTTCAGCCAAATTCTACAGACACAGGGACAGATTTAAAAAAGTGAAAAAAGGAGGTGGGGCAAAACTAATGAACTTTTCTGCACTAGGAAACTCTTCTCTGTGCTAAAGAAGGTCAGGGAAGTGGAATGGGGAAGAGGAAAAGAGAAGACTCACTGGGGGAAGGGGCTCTGGGTACAGGAGGTTCTGCTTCCAGAAGGAACAAGAAACTCATTCCTCCTCCTTGGCAAATCACCAGCACATTCAGACTGAAAACCCCCAACAAAAAGAGTTTCAGAGCTTCCTTAAGAGCTGCTGAGCAGGGAATAAGTCAATCATTATTCAGAAAGGCTCTTGGAGACACGAGGCTTTAGTTTTTCCCTCAGAGAATGTGCCTTGCAGCCAGAAGGACACCATGTCCTCTATTCCCCAGGGACAAAAAGCTGACCTTGCTGAGCCACTGGTCCCTGCTCAGAGGAGCTGAGAGCATCAGGAGCTGTGTGCAGAACTCTTGTGCCATCTGCAGGCACTGGCAGTGCCACAAACCCTGCCAGGCCAGCCCTGAATCTCCACTTGGCACAGGGACACAATCCCTGAATGGTCTGGGTTGGAAGGGACCTCAAAGGTCCTTCCACCCCCTGCCATGGGCAGGGACACCTTCCACTACCTCAGGGATACCTTCCACTACCTCACCTTCCAACCCCAAATCCAACCTGGCCTTGGGCACTTCCAGAGATGGGAAATCCTGTCTCACACCCAGGTACACCCTGGTACAAACCCAGTCTATGCTCTGCAGGAAACAGTGGTTTAAGGAATATGCTTTAAGCTGAAAAAACCTTTCCCTAACTGAGATTTCGGTGTCATTTGCAAGCTTGGGGATTAAATGACCAAGGCAGAACATTCCAAGCTATAAATCGAACAAAATACCTAAGAACCAATTCTGCCTCATAAACCTGATTTTACACCTTCCATCCAAAATCTTTAGTGAATAACACAAGTTTCAAAGATGCAGAGGCAGGCAGCAGCAGCAGGAAGAGGGAGGAGAGCTCTCTGACCTGTGACAGGGTCGTTTTCCAAGGACATTCGGCTGAAGGCAGGAGTGGCATTGGAGATATCAGACAGCGTGCGGCGAGCGATGGCCGCGGGCAGCGGCGCCTTGGGGACATCGTAGCCATCCTCTTCATTCTCTGACTCCTCAGGGCCATTGCTGGCAGTGGCTGCTGCCAGGTTCCCTTCATCTGCAAGAGGAGGCCCCTTCTGAGCTCTGGGGCTGAGCTGTCTCTCAAGGCAGACTCCACTCCCCCATTTTCCAAACACTGACAGGACACCGAACTAAAGTTCTGCTGTTAAAACCTCACAATTAACGGCAGCTCTTTCCAGAAGGGCAAATTAAAGCACTGGAATGCTCTTCCCAGGGAGGTGGTGGAAACACCATCTCTGGATGTGTTTAAAAACAGACTGGACATGGCACTGGGTGCTACATTCTGGTTGAGGTGTTAGGGGACAGGTTGGACTCAATGATATTAGAGGTCTCTTCCAACCTCATCATTCTGTGATTCTGTGATTCTGTGACTCTGGGATTCTGCAATTCAGTGATTCTGTGACTGTGATTCTGCAATTCAATGACTCTGTGACTCTGCAATTCAGTGATTCTGTGACTCTGTGATTCTGTGACTCTGCAATTCAGTGATTCTGTGACTCTGTGATTCTGTGACTCTGCAATTCAGTGATTCTGTGACTGTGATTCTGCAATTCAATGACTCTGTGATTCTGCCATTCAGTGATTCTGTGACTCTGTGACTCTGCAATTCAGTGATTCTGTGACTCTGTGATTCTGCAATTCAATGACTCTGTGATTCTGCAATTCTGTGATTCTGTGACTCTGTGATTCTGTGACTCTGCAATTCAGTGATTCTGTGACTCTGTGATTCTGCAATTCAGTGATTCTGTGACTCTGTGATTCTGCAATTCAGTGATTCTGTGACTGTGATTCTGCAATTCAATGACTCTGTGATTCTGCAATTCTGTGATTCTGTGACTCTGATTCTGTAATTCTGCCTCTCTCTGACTGCGATTCTGCAATTCAGTGATTCTATGACTCTGTGAATCTGTGATAAGGTTAAAAATACTTGATAGACTCAATGTGCATGCCCAGACTCATATTTCCACATACATCCCAGCTATTTTAACAACAAAACCAAATGTAATTCCTTTAATTCAGCCTAAAATGCTGCTCCACTGGGAGCCATTCATTGCAGGCCAGTTCCTCAGCTGTTCTCTAGCACACCCACTCACCAGAAGTGTTGACAGCCTCAAAAGCAGAGGATGCTGCTTGGGAGTGAATGTTGTACATTGCTTCATACATGGAGCCCTCGGGCTGCTGGTCACAGTCCAGAACTCTGAGGGAGAGAAGACATTCCCCATCACACAGGTGACAGTGGCCACCACCTCCTCCCTGCCTCTGTGACAGAGTTGGTGCACAGCTTCTTGTTTCAAGGTGAAATCACCAGTGCTCTGTGAAATATTTGCTCTAGAAAATGCTCTGTTAATGTTTATTGCAATAGAGTACCTCAGCTTAAAAGAGTTAAAATGATACCACCAAAACTGATACCACTGAAAATTACATTTTAGTAAGAGTTTTGAATTTCAGTAAAATTACATTTTAGAAAGAGTTTTGAATTTCAGTAAAATTACATTTTAGTAAGAGTTTTGAATTTCTGCTCCAAAAAGGTTCTTGGCAGAGAGAGTGGGAAGGAAGGGGATATCTGAGTCCTTTAATACTGTACAAGGACTCTGCAAAGAGCAGTGGTCACATTTCCTTTATTGCTATTTTAGTCAAGATCTGGTGAATATCACTGGGGGAATTCAGAAATCTGAGCAAGCAAAATTCCCACCCTGATGTCCCAAATGTGCTGCCCCAGAGCTGGGAGAGGGAAGTGCAAAACCAGCCAGAATCTCACCGTAAACTCTGAGTCATTTCCAAAGGCATTTTGAGCTCTGGCTTTTGCACAGCAGGACCTGGAGGCACCACAGGCAGAGAGGATGGTGACATGTATTCAGTGTCCTCATCGCTCTCAGACTGCTCCCCAGGAGGCAGTTTTGGTACAGGCAGTGGTCTGGAGGCAGGAGAAACAAGATATAAAACATTTACACCAAACCTAATTAATACCAAGGTGCCCTTTTAAATCCACGGTCACCTCACAGCAAGTCTGTCTAAAGAAATAATTTGGTTTTCAGTTTGCAGCCCACAAGGTCACACCAGCACAAGGTCATGATGCAAAAGTAAGTGACCATATCATGCACGTTTATATCACACAAAGCCCCACTCAAAAGTGAATTTATTAAAGAACTGATGGCAACTGCCACAGCCCAGGGGAACTCCCACCACTCCCCACAGCTCTGATTTCAGCTGCTTTCTCTAAATTGTGTTTTGAATCTGTCAGAGTTTAAAATGAAGACTGGAAGAGTTGTGCCAGTTCTGTTCCTGGCACCAGCACCCTGCAATTCCCACTCTGGAAGGCATAAAAAATCCCAACAGACCTGGCAGCTAAGGAGTAGATGGCATTGGCAGATGAGGAGGGTTTGATTTTGGGGTGCTCACACTCTGAGGTTGCTGCTGGACCACCGGTGGAGCTCTGGAAGACAAAATTCCAAACCAGGAATCAGAAATCAGAAACAACTCATGGCCCAGTGTAGCTGCAAAGCCACTCCTTCAACAGCCTCCGTGGGAATGGAGCATCCTCATTTCTTCCACAGAATTTACTGACACCTCAGAAATGCAGGAATTCTCTGACAGCTTTCCCTCACTGCAGGGGCTTTCCTGCAGGAAGAATTTCACTTTTTGAGGTTCCAGTGGCCTTGGCAAATTCAGCTGAAACAGGCTGAAATGGGAGCCAAGAGGAAAAGGATGCAGACAAACACACACAACTGGAGACAGGATGAAAACTGCGCACGTGCCATTTTCTTAGAAAATCTGGCTAAAAATGTGCTTGCTTTCACTTTTAGAAAGCTGGAAGTGTTAGAAGGAAAAATTAAGGAAATGGAATCGAGGAAAACAAAACTGCCTGCAATTTTTTAGACAACAAAATATTGGACTAATCAGTTCGCTGCTAACAGTGTCCTGCAGGTGAACAGACCCAAACTGAACTCAGATGTTATCCAGTAAAACTCCTGACAGCTGATGTGGTAGTTTTCTCAGGGCTGAAAAGCCAGCAGAGTAAATCAGAATTTTTCAGAGAATGTGGTGATGTTCTCAGGGGTCCCAGGACGAGGGAAGAGATGAGAATCTTGATTCTATGTTTCAGAAGGTTGATTTATTATTTTATTATATATATTATATTAAAAATGATATATTAAAACTATACTAAAGAATAGAAGAAAAAATTTCATCAGAAAGCTAGCAAAGAAAAGAATAAAATGATAATAAAATCTTGGGACTGACTAGAGAGTCTGAGACAGCTGGACTGTGATTAGCTATTAATTAAAAACAACCACATGAGACTAATCAAAGATACACCTGTTGCATTCCACAGCACCAGATAATTATTGTTTCCATTTCATTTTTGAAGCCTCTCAGCTTCTCAAGAGAAAAGATCTTAGCAAAAAGATTTTTCATAAAATATGTCTGTGACAAGAGAACAACAGAAGACATCCTCAGCTTTTCAGCACTGGAAGGTGAACAATAACCAGGCAATTGGGATTCCAACCTTGTTCCCAAAAGGAATGAACACAACTCCCTTGCCTGGAACACACCAATTTCTTTCCATGTCTCCCAGGACAAAATCCCACTCCCCAGTGTGAGAAGAAGGTGCCTTTTACATCTCCCAGATCACCTCCAGAGCTACTCACCGCGGGGTTTTCAACCTTATTCCCAAAAGGAACGAAAGCATCTCCCTTGCTTGGAACACACCAATTTCTTTCCATCTTTCCCATGACAAAATCCCACTCATCAGCATGACAAGAAGGTGCCTTTTCTCCCAGATTACCTCTCCAGTTCCCTGCAGGGTTACTCACCGTGGGGCTGTCCAGGCTGAGCGTGCTGCTGAGAGCACGTTCAGAGGACATGTGAATACCACAATCAGGCAATGGGGATTTCAACTGGGATTTCAAATTTGTCCCAAAAAATATGAAAGCATCTCCCTTGGCTGGAACACACCAATTTCTTTCCATCTCCCCCATGACAAAACCCCACTCCTCAGCATGACAAGAAGGTGCCTTTACATCTCCCAGGCTCCCCCCAGGGTCACTCACCGCGGGGCTGTCCAGGCTGAGCGTGCTGCTGAGAGCACGTTCAGAGAACACATGAATAGCACAATCATGCAATTGGGATTTCAGTCTTGTTCCCAAAAGGAATGAAAGCATCTCCCTTGCTTGGAACACACCAATTTCTTTCCATCTCCCCCATGACAAAATCCCACTCCTCAGTGTGAGAAGAAGGTGCCTTTTATCCCACATTACCTCTCCCAAATCACCTCCAGAGCTACTCACTGCAGGGTTTTCAACTTTGTTCCCAAAAGGAACGAAAGCACGAAAGCACCTCCTTTGCTTGGAACACACCAATTTCTTTCCATCTGCCCCATGGCAAAATCCCACTCCCCAGTGTGAGAAGAAGGTGCCTTTTACATCTCCCAGATCACGTCCAGAGCTACTCACCGCGGGGTTTTCAACCTTATTCCCAAAAGGAACGAAAGCATCTCCCTTGTTTGGAACACACCAATTTCTTTCCATCTCCCCCATGACAAAACCCCACTCCTCAGCATGGCAAGAAGGTGCCTTTACATCTCCCAGGCTCCCGCAGGGTCACTCACCGCGGGGCTGTCCAGGCTGAGCGTGCTGCCGAGCACTCTGGATTCCAGCTGCGAGGGCAGCGAGAAGGGCAGCGAGTGCCGGTTGGACAGCTCCCTGCCGGCCCAGGGCTCTGCCGGGGCTTTGGGCATGGGCCTGCCCGGCCAGGGCTCGCCCTGGCGGTTGGAGGGCAGCGGGGGTGGCTTGTCCCTGTCGCCGGGGGTGCAGGGCAGGGGCCGGCGCTGCGGGCGGCTCTCGGGGCCCGGCGGGTGCGGGCGGTCCGGGGGTGGCGGCGGGGGCAGGTCCCGGAGCGTGGGGGGGATTGGCAGAGGTTTGTCCTTGTGCAGAGCACCTGGAGCGGCCTGGGAGGAGGAGGGAGAGAAATAGTGCTTAGCACAGACAGCCCAGGCAGAGGAGATAAACAGGAGGGAGAGTTTTATCTGTTGATATTAGTACATCATCGCCAAGAATGTGGAGATATCTCCGCACCTTCTGCACGTGCTTGAGGAGATAACACAGGAACTACGTGCACTCCAGCCAGGCTCTGAACACCCTGGATTGTCACCCTGAATTTCTAAGCTTTCTGATGTTGACATTCTTGTAGCAAACTTTCTCACACACTTTTTGTAAATAACTCATTGTTTTGCATTACTTTATGAAATAAGAGAAAGTTGATAGACGGTTGGTTTGTCCAGTGTCATTGGAGAGGTGGCAATGTCACCCTCCAATCCACTGTCACTCTTAGAAAACTATAAATGTTGGAGTCAAAAAATAAACTTCCCTTTTTTCTTCCCCTTGAGAACAGTGGTGAGCACTTGTGTTCTTTTGTGTCCTACAGTGACGCTCAGATTCCTCTTCTTGAGGGAAAGCATGAGCTTACAGCAGTCTTGGATTGGAATCCAAATGGAGCCTCCCCGTTATTTTAAAAAATGATTCAATTGTGGGTTATTTGTACAAGTTAACATTCATTGGTCAGTGATGAGTATTTTCCTCTTCTTGAGGGAGAACATGAGCTTAAAGCAGCCTTGGACTGGAATCCAAGCAGAGTCTCCCCATTATCTTAAAAATGATTCAATTGTGGGTTATTTGTACAAGTTAACATTCATCAGTCAGTGATAAGTATTCAGAGAAATAGGTATTTTCTTCTGCCTGAACTTTCCTAATTTCATTATTTCATCTGAACCAGATGAAGAACCATTAACTTAATGCCACCAAGATCATCCTCCTGCCTTCTGCTGATCAATCAGGAAGCCAGCTCATTTCTCCCAGTCACACACATTGAATTCCTTCCTTCATTTTCTATGTAAAAAAATGCTTGATGGAGAAATGAGTGCAGAAAAGCTGGGGGAGAGAAATATGATACCTCCTGTATCAGCTAGAACAAAATATGAGGAAAATGCAAAGGGTGCAGGGAGCAGGGATTGAGGAGGAAAACAGAGAATGTGATAGCAGTAATAAAAATTTGGTCGTTCAGGATGCAGGACAGAAAAAGAAGAAAGTACTTGGGGATGTCAGAGAGAACATGTTGGGGTCCCCAGATTGCTCTGCCCCACTCAAATGCCACTGAAGGGGACAGGGAGAGCTGGGTCTGACCTTGGAGGTGGTGCCAGGGCTGGAGGCTCCGGCGGGGTTGGCCACTCTCTGCTGCAGCAGGTCCAGCCGGGGTGGCACAGGGGGCAGGGCGGCCTGAGGAGCCACTGAGAACGGAGAGGGAGGGCGTTCCACCTGGGAGAGAGAAAGGGGACATCAGCACGGGGCTCAGCACAGGAATTGCTGTCCTCTGGAGAGCCCCTCCAGCTACAAATAATTCTGTGAGTAACAGCTGTGCCCCAGGAATGGAGCGATGCAAGCTCAGCAGTGAGACACCACTGAAATGCACACTTAGAAACAAACCAAAGTGTCCTGAGGGAGTAACGAAAACGCCACTTAGAAACACAACCCAAGGTGTCCTGACGGAGTAACAAAAATGCAACTCAGAAACACAAACCAAGGTGTCCTGATGGACAAAAAGCAACTTAGAAACAAAAAACAAAAATGCAACTTAGAAACACAAGCCAAGGTGTCTTGATGGAGTAACAAAAATGCAACATAGAAACACAAACCAAACTGCTCTCATGGAATGACAAAAATTCAACTTACAAACATGAATGAAGCTGCTCTCATGGAGTAACAAAAATGCAACTTAGAAACACAAACCAAGGTGTCCTGACAGAGTAACAAAAATGCAACTCAGAAACACAAACCAAACCGCTCTCATGGAATAACAAAAATTCAACTTAGAAACACAAACTAAGTTGTCTGACAGAGTAACGAAAATGCAACATAGAAACACAAACCAAGCTGATGGAGTAACAAAAATGCAACTTAGAAACATGAATCAAGCTGCTCTCATGGAGTAACAAAAATGCAATTTAGAAACACAAACCAAGGTGTCTGACAGAGTAACAAAAATGCAATTTAGAAATCCAAACCAAGGTGTCTGACAGAGTAACAAAAATGCAACTTAGAAACCCAAACCAAGCTGCTCTCGTGGAATAACAAAAATTCAACTTAGAAACACAAGCCAAGGTGTCCTGATGGAGTAACAAAAATACAACTTAGAACCACAAACCAAGCTGCCTGACAGAGTAAAAAAATGCAATTTAGAAATCCAAACCAAGCTGCTCTAATGGAGTAACAAAAATATAACTTAGAAACACAAACCAAGGTGTCCTGATGGAGTAACAAAAATATAACTTAGAAAGCCAAATCAAGCTGCTCTAAAGGAGTAACAAAAATATAACTTAGAAACACAAACCAAGCTGCTCTCATGGAGTAACAAAGCTCAGCGGGCCCTGAGCAAGGACAAGCTGCTTTTCAACACCAGAGGGCACGATCTGCTGCAAAGCTCCTGTCCCTGTGCAAACTGCTTTCACTACAGAGCACTGGTGTGCACCAAACCCTCCATTTTTGTCTCTGGAAAGCTGGTTTTCCACTTAACAAAGCAGCACAGTGCCTGTTATTCTCTTTATTTTCTCTTTTTTTACAATCAAAGTTAGTGCTGTTGAATTTTGAAAAGCTTCGCGTATGTTTGAGCTCGCTAAAATCAACAAAATTCCAACACTGACAGGATGTCACACCAAGAAAATTGCTTTGATTCCCCAAAATATTTTTAAAAAGTCCTCCAGGAACAGTGCTTACTGATTATTACATTATTTCACAGAATGAAAGATTAAGGGAAAAAAGACGCCAGGTAAACCAGAGGTGAAGATTTTTTCTGACTAGGAAATGCAGCTTATTTTAGTTGATCCAGCTATTAAAAATTAACCAAATTCAAACCCACTTCCCTATGCAGTAAAAAAAATGCAAGAGCAGCAATGAGATTTTGAAATGAGAAATGAAAATGGAATGAAAAAGCCATGCAGGGATCCACAAAGAATGCCTGCACACAGCTCCTGGAGGGAAGCAGAGTTATCACACCTTTATTGGACAGATTTATCAGCCACCATATAAAAAGATGACAGCCAAACTGAGTTCCTGAGCAGAACAGCCTGCCCTCTACCCTGTTATTTATCAGGACCTTGGGAAGGCTGTATCCATCACTGGGGGAAAAAGGATGAATTTCTGCTGATCTGGGTGAATTCTGGCTAGGAAAACAAAATCTAACACGCAGAGGAGTGTTCCAAACCCAGACCTTCCCTTCCAACAGGTCAGTCCAGCTTTTTCACCCCTCTGGGGATTCCTCCAACACAACACACAAATATCAAAGGCTTCCAAGTGTGATCTCAAAGTGGCAGTGTGAAATGAGCTCACAAAACTGGAGCTAAACCCCTGTTTTCCATGGGGAGCAGGATGTTTATGGCTACACAGTCTGACAAACCTCACAGGCACAAATCACTGAGAGAAAACTGCTGCAGAAAAGGCATTTTCACATTTATCATTTATGAGCTTACTTTGGTACCAGCGAGTTCTTTCATCATGAAGAGGGAATCATCAGCTTTGTCATCATCATCATCATCATAATTGGGAGAGGGGGTTCCTTCTGCCCCTTGCCTGGACAATCCTCCTCCTCCTCTGGGATCAAAGGGATCCACCACGATGGGCTCGGTGCCTTTGATCTCACAGCGACAGAAGGGACAGCCCTGGCCCTCAGATTCCTGCAGGGGACACAGAGATCTGTCACAGCAGCCTCTGGGGGGCACAATTATCACCTGCTCCACAAACAAGCAGCTTGGAACCTGCTTTTTGGCAGGGAGCTTTCAGCTGAGAGGAACACAAAGGCAAACTGGGTTAGAAATATGGAATATTTTCCCCTTGAAGTAGAAAAACAGCACTTTAGGAAGTATTCCCAGTTTTTTCTTATTCCATATTAAGGGATCAGGCTAAAACAGCTTCTGATGCTGTGACAAAATGAGACAATGTTTCTGTTACATTCTCTCCACACCTGAACAGTTCTGAGAAGAGAATATCTGTAAAAGATACTCTGTATAAGACTCTGTAAGATATCTGTACAAGAATACCTGTAAAAGATCAAGCAGCTGCCCTCAGAGAGATAAGGAAGAGACAGATAAAGAGGCCAAGGCTCACCTGCCAGGCTGTGAGACACGAGGTGCACATCAGGTGCCCACAAGGTTCAATCTTCACGTCCTTGTCGTTCTCAGCACAGATTTTACACAGCTGGAACGTGGAGCCCATCTCACAGTACAGCTCATATTGTTCCTGAGGGAAAAGCCAGCATAAATCACAGCATAAATGCAAAGATTTCAGCATCATTTTACGTGCTAGATGCATCTGTCAAGCTCTGAGAAAAGTGGAATTCAAATTATCCAATCATTTTCATTTAAGCATCCCAAGAAAAGCAGGGCTTAAGACATGTTGATGTTGAATGGCACAAAAGCATCAATGTTGGCAGAACATTCTAAAAATAAACCCTTAAAATCTGTTTTTGCAATCTCATCTGCCCATCCCTATCACACAAAGATTTCTGAATTTTTGTAAAATACTGCAGCATTAAAAACAAGTCTGACAGAACTGGGTGAATAGCTAAGGAGGGTGGAAATCAGGAAGAAAGGCAGAGAGTTGGATGGAATGGAATATTTTATGGAATATTTTATGGAATATTTTACTCACCTGTGTAACTTTAATGTGGTCCTGAGGTGTGGGCTCACACAAGCCAGTCAAGTCAGGATTCTGATTCCGGCCATCAGGAAATAAATAACTGGAAGAAATTGGGAGAAAAATTATCCCTAAATGCCTGTACACAGATCTAAGGTTTCTTTTGGAAGTGGGAAGGGAAGGAAGAATGAAGGTGAGAAGCAAGGGGTGGGAAGTCAAGGTATTCTGAATTCTAAAATTCTGGAGGAATTTTATTCCAGAAATTCCAAAATTAAACACGTTATTCTTAAAAGTATTGGTTCAAATTAAAGGTTCGACCAAAAAAAGAGGGATTTATGAGAAGGGAAACACTGGTGCACATTTATCACCTGCTCCTGCTCAGCTCTGCAGTGCAAAGACAGCTGTCAGTAATTCCTGAGTGCCAAAATAGTTCAGCAATGACTGATTCCGCTGACAGCAATGGTGTCATTCAAATTTTAACTGCTTTCTTGTCCTAATTTTTATAAAGTTACTTACAAGCCTTCCCTGAAGCCATCAATGAGTGCTTGGAAAAGAGGTTTGTTGTGGGGGATTGTCTGGAGAATGTTCCCATCTGCAGTGACGTAGCCGATGGCCCACTGACCCAGGCGGGTACAGCTCAGTCGGAAAATGTAACTAAAAACACACAAAGGAAAAGAAAGCTCAGCTTGGAACTGACTGAAAACATTCAATGACAAGTAGGCAGCCTTTGTCTGGCCATATCAAGACAGCAAATAAAATTAGTAGGAATAACTTGATGATTTGTAGCAGCTTTCCTCAAGTGAGGCCCAGGCAGTTCAAAGGGGAACTTTGCAATGTGATACAAAATGAGAAAAGAACCCAACTGGCCTCCAGGTGAAATTAAACCCAGAATCCAAAGCAAGAGAAGTCAACATCCTCAAAACCTTATGCTTCAAATCAACTTTGAAAAAGCCAAAAACAAACAGACTAGAGGAGGTTTCCGTGTTTCAAAGCAGCGCAGAAGTGACCACACAGGAGCACAGAGAATCTGTCAGCCCCGCTGCCATCAGTGGTGGCAGGCAGACCCTCCCTGCTGGCTGAGCCCTCTCTCACCTGCCAGGTTTGTGAATGAATTTCTGCAGTCTGGCCTTCACCTCGTCATAGGTGAGGAATGCCATATAGCCAGGGTGAGTCACTGCCAGGCTGTTCCAGTTCCTCAGCAAAGATGACCAGGGCTGGGGAAGCACCAAAGAAACAAATTAACCACACACTTCTGCAAAGGGTTAATATTCCTGAACCAAAGGGTTCTGCAGTTAGAGAAATATGGTTCTGTTCCACCACAAATCCAGCAGAGAAACCAAAACATTTATTCCTATGCACAACTTGGCATTTGAATTTGTTGCTTATTGGGGATAAAATTATCACCTAAGACAGACCTTAATCAAAACTGCTTTAATAAATATAAAAGGAGAAGTCACTGAGGTCAGAGCTTAAGAATAGCCATCAATTGTGCTGCTTCTGCAGAGAGAATGAGTCATTCCCCAGACAGGGATGAAGGCAGGAGTTTAATGAGATTATGCAGAGCCCAGGAACCATGACTGCTCCCTCTCCAACACCGACTTCCTGCATGGCCTGGGGACAGTGACCTCCCCTCCGTGTCTCAGTTTCACTGTCTGTAACTTGTGACTGTTCCTCACCACCCCAACCTCACCAGGGTGTGGCAAGGACTGTGGCTGGTCTCAGATCTGAATGAAGAAACCGGCGCACACATCTCAAATATTGCTTAAAATGATGCCCCAAAAGTCATAACAACCATCTGAAATCTCTAATCCTGAGAAGGGCTTGGCTGTGTAAATCTCGCCTGATTTTTCCAAGTTTTTTTAATTTGTCTACAGGAAGGTATCAGCACTCCCTAAGAACTCTGCAACCTCTGGAATTTGCAGCAGCTCTTGACTTGCTCTTTATGTACAACACTTGGAAAAAGTGCTGAATGAGATCAGCTACATTGCAACACCAAACATGGGAATTTTTCATCTAGACATATCTTAATTACAACCCACCCCATCACATGGGAAAAGGCAAGGCAGAGCCAAAGAAGTAAGTGATTGTTCTTGTAAATACCCAATTGTACCATCAGAAGCTGTGTTTTTGAATTTAGCACTATTAGAGACTGTGGGGAAGAATTTTACCTACTGTTAATATCCCTTCAGTGATACAGAGATTTCTCACACACACAGACACGTTCACAACATCCTGGCTGGGGCAGTTCAAAAGATAGGAAACCCAAATTTCCATGCTTGGAAACAACCCCCTTCCATGGAAAATAAATCTGACAATAAAGAAAGGGATGAGGGAAGACAGAGTGACGAACTAAGCTTCACATTTCCTGCCTTGCAGAAGCTGTGTCAGAGCTTCAGTCTCAAAGTGACCTTTGAAAGAGAAAACCTGATTCATGGCAGGATGCTGAATGTGCCTGGGAGTTGCAGTGTATATTTAGGGATTTTTTTTAATTCTACAGCCAGAAATATTACTCACTTTTACTGCAATATGGGATCTTAAGTAAAACTCTTTAAGGGATGGAGGGCAAGACGAGCGAATCCCATACAGCACAAATAATGAGTGTAAAATATTGGATAAAGAAGAGTAAAACACTTGAAGTGATTCCCACAGCTCAGTTCTCACCTGGAAGAGGCGTGTGAAGATGTCAAACTCAAACACTGAGATGTAATCATTGCAGGTCAGGTCAATGGTGGATTTGAGGGCCATGGCCTCCAGGCCAGAGCTGATGGGATGCACCTCATGCAGGGCCTGCCGAAAACTCTTCCAAGGAACAATGGTCCTGGGGACAGCAGGGAATGGGAAATGGCTGAGCACCAGCACCACGAACACAGCCACACCTTATCTGTGTCAGCATCCATGTTGTGATAATGGAGGAAAAGCAAAAACAGCCACACGAGATTTATTCATGTCACATAAAAACCAGATTTCTTGGTACTGCAGGAAATCAGCAGCCAAATTACATTATAGCAATTTTCTCTGCACGTGCAAAATTTTGGAATTAGAAGCCCCCCTCTGGTTTATCTTTTCCCTCTTTCTGCAGTCCTACCACAGCATCACTTGATAATAATTTCACAGTGTTGCAGCTGGCAGGGAAGAAGTTAAATCTAGATGGTTAAAAAAAAACCTGCAACCAACTCTCTAAAGAAGGATTAACTGGAGAAGGAAGATAATCAGAAGCCAAAACACATGCTCCTGTTTAAAGGAATATTTTCCTTTTTCTAATAAATCAAGTGGCATAGAAACACAGAAAGCAAATGCCTCACTTCAGACAACTGTGCTATTCATGAGTAAATACATGATGGCTTTTTGTTCTGACAGCTACTAATTAAACTCTTTAGGTGAAGTACCTCAGCTCCCTCAGTTTGAAAGCAGTACCCAATCCATTAACTTTAATCCCCAAACATTGCTGTGAACACCTCCATGGTTCATTTAGCCAGTGTTTCATTAGATACAGAAATTAAACCTGACATTTCAGCAGCCTGCACACAAAGACTGCTGCATTTCCCTTTCCCCTTCACTCCTAGCAAAGACATTTTGCAAACAGAAATTCAGAGGAGAGGTGAGTAAATGATTGGAAAGACTAAGACACAAGACACAAAGACTGCTGCATTTCCCCTTCCCATTCACTCTTAGCAAAAACATTTTGCAAACAGAAATTCAGAGAAGGAGAGAGGTGAGTAAATGATTGGAAAGACTAATTGGAGGGAAGATGAAAAGAATATAATATTATGGCTTAGCTAAAGAACAACCCATGTTGGGGGCAAGGTAACCTTTGGAAGAAGAAAGGATTAGTTTGCATAGCTTGTAGAGCTTACTTAAAAGTTAAAGAATTAAATCAAGGAGAGGAAAATTTAAGCTGAATAATCAAGGAAAACACTGTGACAATACAAGAGTCTCCTGGGGAAACTGGGGAAAGATTCACCACTTGACACACTTAAAACCAGACAGGACAAAAACTGGGAAATTCAATGTAGGAATGAGCAGTAGATCTTTCCCATCATTTATTTGAACCTGACAAAGCCCTTCCTGAAGGGCCAAACAGAATTCTTAAAAAACACTGGGTGCAATTTGCTCCCACGCCTGTTTTTAAGCACAATTAGAAACTTACTTTTCACCAAAAGCCTTTCTCCAAAATTCTGCAGCATCTGCCTTGGTGATCCGGAACGTGTCCCCCTGGAAGAGGCCGCTGGGGAAAATCCCTTTGAGTTCTGCCAGCATGTGGCTGAATATCAGGGACAGCTTGGTCAGGTTCCTCCTGCAAAGGACCACAAAAATTGTTTATTTTAGAAAAAAAAAAAAAGAGTTTCGTATTCCAAGTAAAACAGAATCAACATTAATTGCAATTCAAGATTGATCCCAGCATGCAAAACTCTGATTTGGGGCTCTCTTTCAAGGGTTTCCCCAGCATTTAGAATATCCAAAACATGGGAACTACCAGCAAGGTCTGTGTTTGTCGAGACATTTTCCACAAGGTCAAACTCTGTATAATCTCTTCAAGGTGGGCAGGCAAAAATCCTCCCATGGAAAAACACATTCACAGAAAATGAGCAAAACCAACACTCAGACCTCACCTACTGAGTATTGAAGACAAAAACTCATCAGGTTTGGGTTTGAAAATTCCTTTTGAGAGCACACAAAGCTGCTCTGCCCCAGACAATGGGAGCTGAATGTCTCTGCAGGTCTCCAGAGGCTCCCAACACAATAGATTTGCTCAGGGAATCTCTATTTGATCCTAACAGATCCAAGCTCCCAAGGGAATGCAAAAACACCTGCAGGTTCTTCCTAAAATGGTCACAACTTACACACAAAAGCTCTCAAACGTTGTGTTTAATTATCCAATTTGAATTACAGCTGGGACCTCAAGTCCCTTCTCTGCCTGGTGCCACTGAGACATCAGGAGTGCTCCATCCCACAGGAAATGCCCTTTTTTAAGCTGGAAAAAAGATATTTTCTGCTATTCTATTCACCAGAGACACCTCTCTCTCTCAAAATAAATATTCCAAATATTCTCCTCCACTCCACTAGGAAAAGTTCCTGAAAAGACACAGGGATATTTCTAGGCCAGAGGGGTTTTTTTCACCCCCACATCATGTGCTGGGAGGTAAAAGAAGGAACTGGCATCATGTGGGCAAGAACAACTTGTGAGCAGTGGCCAGCACACCAGAGCTGCTCAGAAACCACCCAGGCATGGCCCAGACTCACTTGTGGCACTGATCTTTTAAATATTGAACCACACAGGGAGGGAACATCCCCAACACAATGGATTTTCTTCTTTTCCCATCTCTCCCCCTGAGTTTGCAGAACATTGGTGTTTGGCAGCAGACTCCACTGCCCCAGGCTCCAGCCTTTCACCAATTTCTGGTGTTCTGGTTGGATTGGTTCCTGCTCACCTCATCTTGGATGTTTTTCAGACACCACTTGCTCCAAACATGATTTTGCCACTTGAATGACTTATCCTGTAAATGTGCCTGATTGCAGAACTGACCTCCAGCCTTCCCACCAAAATGCCCTGGACATTTGGGACATTTCCCACATTTTCACAGGGTCCAGACTCAACTGGAAGTGACCACATTGCCTGACACATACTCCAGTATTCCCTCAGCCCCTCATGGGCCCTTCCTCCATACCCTGACAGTCTGGGGAGATCAGAAGGGCCCAAAACTCTGAATTTTCTCTGACAGCAGTTCTTTCTCACCCTCCTTTATCCAGCTACGTTTTCATTAGTGTGCAGCAATGAAAGCTGCTCAAAGTGTTTATGGAAAACACCAGCTACACAAAGAATTCTGGTTTTTCTCATTTCAAACGTGTCCAACCACAGCAGGTGCTTAGGATTAACTCAAGGAAAAGCCCCCAGCTGCTCTTCCCTGAGCTCTCCCATTCCCCAGCTGTCTCTGGATGTGTCACACACTCAAACTGGGTATTTTGAAGCAGTTCTGCAGTCTGGGTTTGGCAGGGTAAGTAACTCAAAGCTGTGTATTTCTCTTTGCATTTCTGGGGAAGGCTCAGATTCTGAGCTCGTGGTACAGGGAAAATTATTTAACTGTAAATTCCCACCCCATGGAGACTCCCACCACATCCCTGCAATGTCTGTTTATGATAAACACTAGCAAAATTGTAAATCAGAGGTGTGGAATTCTGAAAGCACTCACTCATAAAAAGGCCAAATAAAAAAGGACAGTTTGATTTAGTGCAAGAAGAAAAAGGAAACACCAGGCTGTTATCAATCATTTAATCTACAACCCAAGCAAAAAATGACGGGCTTTTCATAACTGAGTTTATAAAAATAGGCACTATAATAAACATGCTAATGATTGTGTGCTCTCCTTTTGCTGCCCAGCACAATGTGGGGAAATTTGTGTATGACAGAAAAGCACTCTGATGAATTTCTGACCCTGAACAAGTGCATGGTTTAAACAAAACACTGCAAGAAGCCAGGGAATATTCCTGGGCCCAGCTGTTTATCCCTTGTGCCTCAGCTGAGCTCCAGGAAGTGCCTGCACTCAGCTGAGCACATCAGTTAATGGGAGAAATAAGAACTTCCTCAGGCTTAAGGATGGATAAACAAATGGTTGTACACACACACATTGAAGGACTTGGTTTCCAAAACCAGCTGAACGTTTTAAATTCTCAAGGTTATCATATTTTTTATAAATATCCAGCTATATTGTGAGTAAATAACAGGAAAAACCACAGGAAGTGAACATAAAGAGCAGCAAATTGCAAAATAGTTTGTGTTACTGGCTCTTACATACAGCAGTTACCAATCCTGTGCTAAAAGGACAAATATTTCCTTTATTTTAACAATTTACATATTTGTAAATGTACACAGACCAAATAAACACTTGCAATTCTAGAGAATATTTTTATTGGTGTGTCACAGCTTACTGATGATTGTGCTTTATTTTTAGTAACATCAGAACTGTCCTTATTGCTATTGCTTCAACTAAGCAGATGTGAATGTACTCTCAGAAAAAGGGGCACATATTAAAAAAAAATTTATGGTTTTTAGACTGGAGATTCCCACACAGTTTTGACCACAGACCTCCAGCAATGTCCCATTTTTCTAAATTTAACCTAAACACAGTAATGCACACAAAACTGTCACCGAGGGCTCCACCAGAGACAAGTTATGAGTTAAAGAACTAAATCTTACGAATTCAAATTAAATCTTACAAGCTCAAATTAAATTTTACAAGAATTAATTAAAATCGAATCTCTCAAGTTAGAGACTGAAATGCCAAGCCCAGTTTGGGAAGAGCTGAGCGCAGCACCTAAATCCTGCTGCTGTGGAATTCAAACACCTGCCAGTGTTTAAATGCTGAAAACGTTGCCCAGGGAGCTCAGGCCACATCAGAGCTGTCCCCAGAGTGTGCAGGCAGCTGCAGGAACACCTGGGCCAGCTTCAAAGAGCCGGAGCTGACTGTTCTGTGCTCACAGCACCAGCTGAGGTGGGATTTCACAGCCCTGAGGGTTTTCGCACGTACGTGCAAAGCTCTCGGTTTATTATGGTTGGAAATAACGAATCAACACGTGAAAACGTCAAAAGATAAATATTTTTTCCCACTGTGTACAGTAGCCCAAGTGTTTCACACACGGTGAGGAACACCTGCAGCTGGAGCATGGAGGGATCGGTGCTTGTGCACAGGGAGTGAGTGAGAATTGGTTGTGGAACCAGGCAGCCACAGCTCCTGAGCCTGCCCAGCTCAGCCCCTGCATCCACCAAGCTCTGAATTTGGGGAACCAAAACCAGCATGAAGCAAGAGGGTTCCTTCAGTTACCCCTCCTTCCTGCCCTGAGCCCCCTCTGCTGTGGTTTTGCCCTTCCTTCCTGCCCAGGATGGGTTTGGGTTTGCTCCACACCTTTCTGTGAGCAGGCACTTCCAGCTGCAGCCCCAGCTGGGCGTTCTGCTGGTGCTGTCTCCCTCCCCCAGACCCTCAGCAGATTCTTCTTTCCCAGTTTCCTGTATGGGCTCCACCTTGGAAAGCCATTAAAGGTTTGGTTTAATCAGGGATGTGTCTCTCAGCAAGGTTGACACAATTAGTTAAATTAATGTGCTTTGTGACTAAATGCCTTTTCCCCTCAAGGCAATGTTAGCGTGGCACAACCATTTCTGCCACTGCCAGCTACGATTTTTTCATTTTCTTCCAGTATTTCTCCCCTCCCTCAGAGGCACCCAGCTGACACAATATAATTTAGTTCCTCACACGTAGCAAGGATCAGCTCCACAGGCTGATTTAGTCACAATATTGTGCTCACATGCCATCATTTGACGTGCACACACTGTCTGTAAAGCTCATTCTGCTGAAGGCATGCTACAAACACAGAGGAATTATAAAGAAGCCAACCTCAAAATGCTTCACTCTCTGTAATTATTGTCCTCATTTCTTACTCTTACACTCCTGCCACCAGATTCTGTTTAGGTGACACAGTTAGCATCCACAGGATAAAGTGCAAGCTCCACTGCTTATGAAAACACCAACCACAAACCCACAGGTTTTTTCCTATAACTGCACCTTACAATTTTATACTTGAAGAGCTAAAAAAAAAAATTAAAAAAAAAAACCCAAACAGTCTTTTAACGACTCCAACGAGTAAAATGCACTTTCAGAAACCACAAAGATGTGAGGTTCTCATGTCACAGGGGCTTTCAGATGCACCAGGCATGAGCAGTTTGATTTCAGCAGAGAGTTTGATATGCCTGGCTTCAAAAAGAAGAATTTCAGGAGTTCTGAGTGCTGGTGTTCACAGAAGCAGTGAGTGGAAATGCTCGAGGTCATCCCAAGCTGTCTTTTGTAACCCTGAGGCAGCTCAGGCTCCTCTGATCAGGATAAAAATAGAAACAGCGGAACTACTTTCAACAAAACTTGCAACACAGGAAGTGAATGAAATTCCACTTAACTATTGCTGGCTCAACAGAAGGCACCTTACACAGCCAGGCTCTGTGACACTCACAGGATTTCCTCAGAGTAACTAAAAGAATGGATTAATATTATATTTATTGCTTGTTCTATAGAATTTTTCACCATCAGCTCCTCCTTTTTCAGTGCTTTAGGTATTACAGAGCAGTTTCCTTATGCTCTGCTGAACGCTGGCACTTTTCAGGTCACATAAATATATTTTAACACCTTGAGTTCTGTGAGCAGAGCCTGCTCATCACTTCAAAAGTAACACAAAACACATAAACCACCCAAAACCATTACATATTCCCATCAGTATGCAAATGGCCGTGACTGATGGGAAGCAGAAAGGACACCA